AACCACCTCTTCAGGGTAAAGGCCCCGTCCCCAAATACAGCCACATTCTGAGGTCCTGAGAGTTAAAACTTCAACATATGAATTTGGGGGTGTGAACCAACATATGAATTGGTTAAAAATTCAACCAATAATATCGGCTATTATCAACATTTTAGATGTAAAAAAAGGATCTTCTGTGTCTATATTTGGAATGTGAGCTAAAAGAAATTCAGCCAGTTATCTCATTATTGAATAAAAAGTAATCATTTAACGGTGAGTGCTTATTATGTGGTCAATACACTGTTTGGTGGACTATATAAGATAAAAATGTAAGACAGAGGCCTTGCATTCAAGGAATAAATATTTGAACTGGTAAAGCCAGATAATGGAAGTAAATTGTAATTTAAGCTTTCATTTTTCTAGATAATTGCTCCGTCCTTCTCTATAGTGTCTGAATTTAGAGCCTTTTCACTTTCCTGAATTCTTCCTTTAACAGGAGATGGTTAGAACTTGCTGAAGAAGCCTTATTAGCAGAGCCTATTAAGTTGGCAGCATTAGGGATTTTTTTGTTTTGTTTGATTTTTTTTTCAGTCCCAAAGGTTCTAACTGTTAAAATGAAGTAGTGTTCTGTCCTCAAAAGTAACTTTTTAATTTGATATTGTTATTTTTAGTAATGACTTAGAGTCTAATGTGCTTACAATGTTGGCCCTGCAACCCTGAAATTGCTCATTGATGTAGCAAAGTCTTTGCGAGGAGGCCTGTGGATGATTGATGGCGGGAATGACTGGGGATTTTATACTGCCTTAGTTGGCAAGCTCTCTATTTCATTGTGTTCTTTTTTCGAAAAACTGTCATTACTGAGCCAGTAATTAAGAACATAAATCCAAACTGCCTTTGAAAATAATTTTACTGAATTTAGCTTTGGCAAGAACCACATTTTATAATAATTCGCTCAACTTCATATTTTATTCCCCCTAGTAAATCATATGAATTAACATCATCTATTACAGATAAGCTGGGATTACTCCCCCTAAAATGTTATAACCGGAGACACCTCCAAATTAAATAGTAATTTTCATATCCCAGTTAGGTACTGAGATTCTAAGGTGGGTAAGTCAATTGTTGCTTTAAATGAGCTTTCAATACAGTGAGAAAGAGATTTGTCAAAGAGTGAGTCTCAGTAGCACAATGTGCCAAGTTCTGTAGTGAAGGACATGCCTGGGGAAAGGGCAGGATGCATCCAGGGAACAAGGATAGTGGTGTACGGCAGAGAGGACAGGATACAGTCTAAGATTAATTGGAAGGCTGGACTGAGCCAGACTCTGGACCATCTGTCCTTGAAATATCTTGTATATCATCTGAGGAGTCTACGTGTTATTCTGCAGGTAATGGGGAGCAAGTCAAGGTTTCTGGCCCGGAGCTGGATTTGATCAGTGTCCTGTTTAAGGAATACAGCTCTGATGACATTTTGAAGGATCAATATTTGAGAGATAAGGAAGGGAGAAGTAAGGAGGGAGTATAGCACAATAACCTAGAGGAGGGAAAGTGAAACCCCAAGGTCTGAAGGAAGAAAATGGCAATGGAAATAAAAGTAAGGAGTGAAAAGGTCTTGTCCAGCTGGAGTAAATGTTGCCTCATTGTTCATGGAATTGTGTGAAAGACTGTCAGCCCATTCTGACCTCAAGGTTCTATGAGTTGGTCTCCTCTGACCCCAGAAGAACTCTAAATTCCAGAAGAGAGCATTTCCTCCAACTGTAAGTACATATGAGAATGCTTCAGATGTAGTTCTACGTATTCAAGAATTGAGATCTTCTCTCCCACTCTGGTTATCATATCATTTGCAACAGGGATAATGAGATTTATTTACAGGAGCACAAACTAATTTTTTTTTATGAGTTTCCAGTATGGAGACATAGTAATGCTTACCAGGGCAGTCTCCCTAAATAGGAGGCCTATACTTGTGTTCTGTAGGACAATGAGTTTTAGTTTCTGTTCACTTAACTCAGAATAAGAACTTGATAGACAATTGAGAAGTAAAACTATGAGAAAATTAAAAAAGGAAAGGAAACAAGATAATGAAATGACATGGTACAGAAAATACTGAATTGCCATATTAAAATAGAAGATATTGACTTGCTGAATAAATTCTCATAGTTTCCCAAAGTTGCAAGGATTTAGAGTAATTGAAGAAATGTACTGGGAAAGAAGCCAGTAGGCTATCACAAATATGGACACCATTGGTGATTGCATGGTGGCAGGTATACAAAAACAAAATGATATACAGGTGGAGAACATGTATTTTGTCACCCTTATAGATAATCTCAGATTTCTTATCCCTAACTGGTAAGTATATCATTACTTATATTTATTTCTTTTATTTGCCAAACATTTATATGTCATTTATGTTCACTCAGTTAAACCTCATAACAATCCCATTCAGATAGGTACTTTAAGATAGAGGAAACAGAGAGGTTAAGCAATTAGTCCACAGTTACACAGCTGGTAAGTAGCAGAGCCATTGATTCAAAACCAGGTATCCCTGACTTCACACTTTATGTTCCTAACCAGTACATTATGCTGTTTGTTGATGGGAGAGAAAGTAATGTTTTTATACTATGTTTTGATCTAGAAGGACCTCTACAGGATTCTGTCAAATATTTGTTTATTCTCATAAATATAAATGCAAGCTAAAAGCAATCATAGCATTTATGAGTGTCTATTTCCATTATTGCCGATGGTTAATTCATTCAGGTTGTTAGGTATGAGGGATGCAAAGATTAATTAGATGTGGTTTCTACCTTCAAAAAACACACAGTATAGAAGAGGAATAAAACATGTATATGAAATGTTTCAAGAGTGTGATAAATTGCAGAATAGCAGTATATATAGCCTGTCATGTAAGCACAGACACTGGACATTTAAATCATAAGGTATATGAGGGAAAATTTCCCAACAAAAATGTTATATTCATTTTAGATCTTGAAGGATAAATGGGGCTTACATACAGCATTGTAGGCAGAGGGAACAGCCAAGACAAAACAGTGAAGGAAGATATAACACATTTGAGGACCTGCAGATTGTTCATTAAGATTAGAATAGCAGTGGGCCTGTGAACCAGACAATCGCGGTTCGATTCCCAGTCAGGGCACATTCCTGGGTTGCAGGCCAGTTCCCTGCAGGCCAATTCCCAGCAGGGGATGCATGAAAGGCAACCATACATTGATGTTTCTCTCCCTCTCTCCTTCCCTTCCACTCTAAAGATAAATAAATAAAATTTTAAAAAAAAGATTAGAATAGCAGGTATACATGAGGAAGAGGCAGGTGAGGTTAAAGACTTAGAGGCAAAATCATGAGACTTGAATAATAATAAATCAAGGAGCTTGACCTTTGTCCTGAACACTGTAGGTAAGGATTGAAACTTCAATCAGAGATACATGTGAATGTAGTTGAAAAAATAATTTGAAAGAACATGAAGGATAGAATGGATCAAATGTATAGATATATATTTAAACTATTGCAATAACCCAGGTAACAAGTTATGGAATCCTAACCTGAGGCAATAGAAATATGGTTGGATAAGAGGAGAAAAACTAATATAAGCAGATATGTTAGAAATATTACATATAAGAGAAAGTGATTATGTATATTTAGGGAGGGGGTAAGAGGGAATTTTCCAGGAGAGTGTTGGCCAAATAATGGTTTGGGGAACAGCTGCATTAGAATGGCTTTAAAAACATACAGCCCTAGTCTTCACCACCATAAATCCTGATTTGGGGCCTGGGGAGGCATCTGGGAATCTGTATTATTTGAAAGTCTTTGAGTTCATTCAGCAATATATCTAGGATTGAGAACCATTACAACTTCGAAGTTTATGGGCTAGATGCCTAAGAGATTACATTTGATAACAAATGTTGAAAGAGATTTTTGGCTGAGGGAGAAGAAGGATGGGTATACTTCAGACCTACATTTCGGCTAACTGTGGGAAATCTGGATTGAACTAGGTATATAGATTTAAAACTCAGAAGAGCGATTATGTTTGGAAATAGATGGTGGTAGATGAAGTCATTGGGTTTGGGTGGTCATCCTGGAAGAATATATAGAATGATGAAAGAGATGGCTGAGCATTTAGGAACACTAGTATTTAGGAAGTGATCTAAGGAAGAAGAGCAAGTTGAAGACACTGACAAGGACTCTTCAGAGAAGGTAAGAAAATGTGACTATTGTCACAGAAACCAAAAGAGGGGAGTTCCATAGAAAGAAGTTTTCAACATTAGCAAAAGTTGCAAACATTCAAGTAGGGTAAATAAGAACAGAAAAGTGTCTACTAATATACAAGATGGTGACCCTGGTGACCTATGAGAGCAGATTTAGTTTACAGTTTAGGAGGAACTATGATGGTAGGTTGAAAAGGAGAAGGTGTGGAAGAAATTAGAAAGCCTGAGTATAAGCTGCTGTTAAGAAATTTGGCAATAAAGGGTTTATGAGCAAGAATAACGGTTAGTAGGGTCAGGGAGATCATTTTTTTATTTTTCTATTCTAGATTTTTATCTTTTAGAGAGAAGGGAAGGAAGGGAGAAAGAGAAAGGGAAACATCAATGTATGAGAGAAACATCTAGTTGTCTCTCACATGCTCCCAACCAGGAACCTGACCCACAACCCAGACATGTGCCCCGCCTGGGAATCTAACCAATGATGCTTTGTTTCACAGGCTGATGCTCACCCCCGGAGCCACACCAGGCAGGGCAAGATTTTTTTTTTTTTTAATGAAAGAGACTTGAACATGCTAAGGAGAAAAAATTGGTGATGAAAAGAGATGAACCTTATAGGAAAGAGGATAACCAATGAAAGTAACTCTTCAAGGAGGCCAGAGTTGGGGAGGGATTAGCTTTGATTGAGAAAGACAACACTTCCAGTAAAATTAAAATTAAAATATAGGCAAGATGGGAATGGACACAAATGAGATGTTGGTATTAGAGGTAGAAGCCGAAAAAGTTCTTTCCTGATAGTTTCTATTCTCTTAGTGAAATGGAAGAGACCATCTGCCTTGCCTAGGAAGATGGGGTCACAAAGAAAATCATCTGCCAGGTAACAACTTCCTCAGTAAATTTGGTAGAATACCTAGCACAATGTCTTTCATGTAATATTCAATGCATTTAGGTAACCAGTAGCCAAGCAAACAAATAAATGTTCACCTTTAAATGATAATATATGCTCACAAGAACAGAATGAATGAAATGAAATATATGCCCATAGAAATAGAAAGAGAAATCAAAGTATGAAATATGCTGGTTTACGGTAGACATTAAAATTAAAGGTTGCATCAAGAGAACACTGAAATACATAAGGCCTTATGAGGAACATTTAACATAGTCTTGATACATTTTGCATTAAAGGATTAGTTTTTAGTTCATGTAAAACAGTTTGCATAGACCATCATACTGGACCTGATGTTCCTTTGCTCTCAGCATTTATTTCAAGAAACACGAGCTAGGCCCTCAGCATCCTTGGTATAATGATAAAAACAAGCAAAATAGTCTGTGGCGTTTCCTCATCACCACTTTCTTCCAGGGCCATTCATCCATTAGGAACCACGAACATTGTCAAAAACCTATGAAAACATTCAAAAACTAAAACACAAAAGAGTAGTGGTTCCGGAATATAAAAATAAAACTGTAAAACTAGTAACATCCTGTCAATTTCATAAACTGTCAAATTTAGGATTCATAAAGTTGTCATTGACCCTTAAAAGTAATTGGTTGGTTTTTCTCACTTCAAAAGAAACTCGATAATGCACAGCGATTTTTCAGAAATCTTATGATAGCTAAATAATTTACTCATAGCAAAATAAGTTTAAATCAGGAATATAAAATCATAACGCTGTGTGTGTGTAAAATGGGATGATGTGTCACGTATAAAATGTCTGAGTTATTGGAATAAGAGGTTTAGGACCTCATGCTCTTTAAAAAGACCTGCCTTCTATTCTCTCTCACAAGTAAATGGTGTGTCCCAGTTGTTTCTAATATAATTTATACCTTCCCCAAAATTGGGGAACTCATTCACTTTGATATCCTTGTTCTTCCAGTTATTTAACCATTCTATCTCTTACTGAAAAATAGAAAATTTTGCCCCCAATAAAAGAAATTAGTGAAAAATTTAGGATCCTTGTCAACATCTCTAAACTCATATGTTTAAGGGAAACATAGAAACTAAAATTCCTTTCATCTTTTTTAGAATATATGAGAAGACTGGTTCCTGGGTCAGAAAAGACAATTACATATAATGTTCAGATAATCTACATTCTTCCAAAACCTGTTTTCTTCTCTCCTATAGGAGACCCAGGGAGTCTGAGGCATTCACACTGTGCTAACACTCTTCCTACATCTCTCCCCTTCTGACCTGCAACCTAAGGTTATGTGGTTTATAATAGGGTATGCTATCCTGCTACGGCCTCATGGCCCAGAAAAGTTCTTTGTCACACAGAATTACATCATGGGATGGAAATGAAGTATCTGGATATAGCAGAATGGCAGAGAGCATGCTGGAATGGGAAGGCACTATCAGAGCACCAGGAATTTACCCCCAGGGCAATAGATGGTGAAGGAAAGAGAATAGAAAAGAGAGCTAAAAGAAACCAAATCTAAAAAAATAATGTGAGCTTTTGACATAGGATCCTAAATCCTTGTCTTTTCATGTGTCATCATCTTTGTGTGGTATTGATTGAATAATATATGAGAGAAATAGTAGAGATTTTTTTTGAGCTAGAAAAAACAGTGTGGACATTGATGGTCTTTAGAAAATGATGAATTTAATACTTTCTATGAACCATATGATTTTTACACTTAAATGCCAGTGGAAGCCATTCAATTCACTGAGAAAAAGTATATGTAATGAATAATCATGTCCTCAATTTTAAAAATAAATTGACTAGAAGGAGCTTTAGGTTAGTATTCTGACCCTTGCTTCTACTCTGCACCAGCAGTCTACATTACATTGAAAAGGTAATTTGTGGCTTTTAATTTTTTGGTATGAAAATGGAAATAAATTAGACTAGGTCCTGATGTCTAACATTTAGTTCCCCAAGCTTAATATGGAGCATCTGATCCCAGATGAAATCTGCAGCAATATTAATTAACTACAAAGTGTGAACTGTTATTACAAAAAAATATAAGACCTAACCAGTTTGGCTGCTGCTCCTTCTGTGTGACTGGTTGCTTTCTAAGTGCCATATTAACAGTCTTAGATCACTGCCCAATTTATTTTTAATACAGTGGATTATATAAATGTGAGCCTTTCACACTTACTTTTAATAGAAGAATATAGATCAAACTGCATATTTTTCAAGTATGCTTCGAATATGAGTCATGTCTGGTTCTCATATGGTAATCTTGAACTTTCTTCAGCTCATCTTTATCACATGTTTAAAAATGCCTGGTGCCCTCACACATCTGGGAGTTCTGATCATGAGAGTTTCTGTCCAAAAAACTTGGACCTTTACAATTCTGTGATGTATTCAATGATCTTTATAGTTTTATTTTTTACCTAAAACAGTAATATAAAGATGTCCTTTAACTTATGCCTAAATAATCAATTATATGTTTAAATCGTTTTAAAGACTTATTTTTCTCCTTTATAAATAGGAATTTACTGACTGACAATGGCAGAAAAAATTATAGAGAAGTTAGATAATCTAAATGAATATGCAAAGATACTCTTGGCCAGAAGAATAAAGGTTTGTGAAATAAGAGTTAAAATTTAATTTAATTATTAAAAGGTTATCACTTCAAATGTGAATGATGATTTTATTTTTTAGTTATTATGAAGATATAAATTAATTTTTAAATAAGTATATTAGTTGAAAAAAAATCATCTACGTGAGTGGGTACTTTAAAGAATTAATTAGATATAGGGTAACTTCTAGGTAGTTACCATATTGGGTTATGATGTATTTAAACTGCTTAAGATTTTTAAAAATCCCAGGTAGTCAAATAGTAACTGTGACTATACCTATTGTTCTTACTGACATGTTAAACATATTAAAATTTATTTACTTGCTTTATTAAAAGAAAGAAAGTATTTGATATAGTTACCAAACTAGAAATAACTAAAGTTCACAGATATTAAAGTAAAAAGGTAAGACTCCTATAAAGTTCAATAAAGGAAGAATAATGAACAATAAATAATTGTTCACTGAGGAATATAGTCCTCAAAACCCAGATTTTTTACACATATGAGCAGTTTAATTTGGTTACACAAAGACTTGCAAAATATATAACAGTGTGAATAAATAAGGCATAAATAAGAGCACGCAGTCTGAGAAATCAAGGACACCACAGAGAGGAACTCAAGGGAATGAACATATTTATGAAATAGATTGCCTCTATTTGCTTTTTAATGGCCAAAAAGGGAGATAACAATGTATAAACCAGTTTGGAAATCAATTTTTTAATTTTTAAATACTTTTTAAATTTTGAAATAATTATAGACTTATAGGAAGTTACAGAAAAAGTATAAAAAGCCGCACATGCCTTTCCCCCAGTTGCTCCCACTGGGGACACCTTATAGAGGGCTGTCCCTTGACTGTGGTGCTGGTTATACACGTCTGTAATGGGGTGAAATTGTGCAATATCAAAACCAGTATGAGCCATAATTGATATCCACAACACTGGTATATGACTGTTAATCAAAGTACAGACTCCATTCACTTTGCACCATTTTTAACCTGCATTCATTTGGTCATTTGTATATTGAGTTGCATGCAATTTTATCAAGATACAGCACATTTCCATCACCATAAAGAAACTCCTTCATGTTATTTCCTTGTATTTGTATCCATGCCTCCACCTCCTTCCTCATTTCCGCCCCTGACAATGGCTAATCTGATCTCCACCTCTATGGTAATTTTATAATTTGGACAATTTTTATATAAATGGCATCATTCAGTATGTAGTATTTTGACATTGATTTTTCACTAAGCATAATGCCCTTGAGGTCCATCTAAGATCTTACAGAAATCAATAACTTTATTATTATAAATAATATATAAAATTTATTGGTGAGTTGCATTCCATAATATGGATATACAGAGTTTCAATCACTCACCCATTGAAGGACATTTGGTTGTTTGCAGTATCCTGCTTTTAAAAATAAAGCTGCTAAAAAATAACACAAAATAAAGTTGCTATGCATATTTGTGTACAGGTTTTTGAATAAACACTTCTCTGAAGTGAATGCCCAGCAGATGTTTGCAGGCATGGTCTCTGCCTCTGAAACTCAATGAGGCGGAGGCCACGGGGTTTGGTTCGAGTTCCCCTGCCTTGTGCCTCAGCCTGGAGACTGCTCCCAGGAAGTGTGCTGGGCTGTGTTAGGGTTTGCCACATTTGTTTCCCTTTTTTCAGGAATTGTGGTCCTGCTCTGCTGGTTTCCTCATGCCTGCTTACAGTTTTTACAAATTTTGTTGCAGAAAAACAGTCTTCAGGGCTTCATAAAGGAAAAGACTTCTGTTGCACCCCTAGTACTTGATTTTCAGTTGGAATCTGAAGAGGCTATTATTGCCAAATCCACATCTACAACAGTATCAAAGAGCACAGAAAACAAGTCACATGGTATTAAAAAAACAAAAAGGTAATCATCATAACTACTTCAAACTTTCAATTTGGAGTTTTAAGGCATTCAGATTTGTCTTCAGTTATTTAGTCTATATTAAAAGTCAGCTTTGTCAAATGAAGGTATATTTCATAGCAGTTATATAAGTTATAACATACTAGATAAGCATCTAAAATATTCTTGTGTATAGACCATTTATTATAATACTGCACATGTTGACTACAGATAGTAATTATAATTCTGAACTTTTAAAGAAAGACTCTTCTTGAGCTGTATTATACTGCTGCAAGTTAATGTCAGGATGTATTTCAAACTTTAACCAATGTACTGCTGTCAATTGATGGTTGTTGGCACTGATTCAATGCCAATGGGAACCGCAGTATGAGGTACAGTGAAGAAGGAAACTTTATTCAGTGCAAATAACTCAATTGTGATACAGCACAGTTGTGAGAACAGCAAGACTGTAGACCCGCTCAATAGTGTTGCAGCTCAATTATGAAGCAGCATAGCTGTGGAACAGTGAGGTGGCCCTTGGGGCCAGGCAGCCCTGGGGCGATGCCCCTTTCTGACTAGACAGTTCTGCTCTGTTCTGCCCTGTTCCATGTGCTCTTCTCCACTCTGGTTCTGCAAGACATCTTCATTGTTTCAGCTTCAGCTGGGGAAACAGTCTTCAGGCTTTGGTAGAAAGGGAAAGTGCACTCTCAAAACCAGAGGGGAGCTGACTTACAGAGAGAGAAGTCACTACTACTCTCTCATGCAAATGAAGGTGCCAAATCCTAAACTTTTTTTTTTTTTTTGGTCCAAAAGGTACTGCCTTTATTGGCAAGAATAGAGCTGCTCTGACTGGTCAGTGAGGATGCTGATGGGAATATAACTGCAGCTCTGATTGGACAGGGAAATTCCAATCCAATTGGTTGAAATACAATTCCAGAACTCCTTTGTAAGGGCTGCTCAGACAGCAGGAACACAGTGTGGCCAGGCAATTCAGTGCAGACTTCTCCCTGTCTGTGCAACTCGCACGAAAGGCCCCTGTGTAGAAACAGCTGCTAGGTTCTGTTTGCTAAAATCTGAGCCCACCTAGCCACCAGGAGTCTTTCTTAGTAGGTATCTTCTTTCTCAGGGTCTGCACTGCAAGGAAAAGAAACAGGTCCACCTAGAAAATTAAGGAAGCTTCTTGGTGTACTTGCAAGGAATAGTCGGAATATGTCATACTTGGTCTTTCACGGGCATTGTGTATGTATGTAATGCTATATAATTTTTCTAGGCATCAGAAATGTAAAGAGAGTCCAGACGAAAGAAATACTGAGCTGTAGGACCAAGAGAACCTCTTTGAGTGTCTCTTTTCTCCCACTTTTGGCCTCTTAATTTCTTACTGCTTTTAGGTAGCTCTTAGGTGTCTTTAAACAAATATTTTAACATTTTCCCACATTTTTTAGTTGTTCTCAGAAGGATAGCTGATCTAAAACTATCTAGCATTCTATTTCCAGAAATGAGACATAAATTGCTGTTTAATGTAATACTAGATTTTACTCATACTTGAATAATTCTCATTCTGATACAGCTTACTGTTTTTTTCTAGGGTTCTAAACCAAGTTCAAATAAAAAATCCTTGCAGATAACTTTTGCTTATCTTGGTACAATTGCTTTGCTATCACATACTATTATAATCTTCATGTATTGATTTTCTTCTATAAGTATTTATTAAGTGACTATTGTACTCTGAAGATACAACAGCAACAGGGAAATATATCTGTGTATTAAAGTATAGGAGGGGAATTCAGATAAGTGAACAGGCAAACACCAGTTGCTACAGAGAGATTCCCAATGGGAGGATCTGCAAAAGTTTTCTGGAGGGAATGGCAGCTCAGGTGAGACCTAGAGAGTTAGTGAAGAGGCAACTGATTTAAAAGAGGAAAATGTGTTCCAGGCCAAGGCAACAATATGAACAGTTGGCCAGAGACAGGCAGAGGAAAGCCTAGTTAATTTGAGGCGCTGGACGTGTTGGGATATGGGGTAAAGACTGGAGAGGGGCCTAAAGAAGTGAAGCTAAAGAGGTAAATAAAGGCCAGATCACCAAAGGCTAAAAAAGAACTTTGGACAATCTCCTAAACCAGTATGGAGCTACTGAAGGGTTTAAACAGGGTGATGCATATTCAGATTTGGATTTTTGGAAATATCATTGGACAGCAAAAGAGGTTTTTAAAAATTATAAAGCCTCCCCAGAAAATCTGAGCTTTTGCTAAATTCATATTATCTCCAGAAATTGCCTCTTTTGGGAAGCAACTCATCTTGCAGTGAGTCCTTTTCTAGTCATAACAGAATGATTGCTTAAATAACAAAGCATAAGGCGAGAAGTTTCTATCTGCATATCACCAATAATATGCTGGTTATGGTTACATCAATTTAATTGTATAGATTTAGTTCCTCTAAATCTTGAGATGGAGCTCCTGGACTTACAAACTATTTTACTTATAACTAAGATATAAGTCTCCATCAGTGCTCACAAAATCTCACTGTAACACTGAACAAAGATGTCAATCTAATTCACACCACTTTCTGAGTTTTTGACTCAATAGGTCTTGGCAGGAGCCTGATACTTTGCATGTTTAGTAAGTTTCCAGGTAATGCTGCTGCTGCTGCTCCTGGTACCACCCTGTGAGGCACTGCTGCACCTTATGTCCCACTCTAATCATGCTGCCTAATACCAACATCTGTTCCATCCCTTTCCTTAGCTTGCTGAACATCATAGCAACACTCAACCTGGAGCTGATTGATGAAACCTGCCCAAGTTTATTTGTAGCTGAGCTTTGCTTTCAGAATAGTAATTTCCACCCCAACTGCACATTACTGTTACCTGGGGAGCTTTAAAATAATTGGATTCTACTTTAATTGGTTTGGAGTGCGGCCCAGGCATTACTATTTTTAAGGTCTCCCAGATGATTCTTATATAAAGATAGGATTGAAAACCATTAAAATTCTTTGTCAGTGACTCTGAGAGACATCTTTTCTATGTTATTATTAGCTCTGGATGTCTGCACTTCTCTTGGATAAATGGTAACTGATGAAGGTGATAGCCTCTATTACCTAGAAATACCTCCCTAGGATAACTTTTCTCATAAGCAGAGAGTTTTATAATCATTCAAAAATATCTCTCAGTCCTTTGCTTTTAATTTGTACATAGTTTTAATATTTCTCAATAAACATCAAACCTACTCTTCTCTTCAATTTCTTATAATTGGATCTTTTACAAAAGGGGCATACTCTTTAACAAAAGTTCCTTTAAAAATTATCTCTAATAAAAAATTTTATGCTTCTGGTCAAGATGGAGGCATAGGTAAACAGGGCTCACTTCTTTGCAAAACTACAGCAAAAACTACAACTAAGCTACAAAATAACAATTGCCCTGAATTGTCAAAAATCAAACTGTATTGAAGTTAGACAACCAAGGAAATAAAAAAGTCACATTCATCCAAACTAGTTGGCTGGGAGGTTGGGGGAGGGACACAGGGATGTGGAGATGTAGAATGGGCAGGTCCCACATCCACATGTGGTGGATAAAAATCAGGAGGTATACCTCTGGAGGAAGGGATCCCAGCCCCACACCAGACCACCCAGCCTAGGAGGGTTCCAGTGCCAGGAAGATAAATCTCTATAACTTCTGGCTGTAAAAACCAGTGGGGTTTGGGGTGGCAGAAGAAACCGCAGTGTTCTCAGGTGTCTCCTCTTAAAGGGCTCGCACTGGACTTAGGACACAGGCAGACTTACTCCTTCTGGGCGCCAGTACCAGGGCAGCAGTTGGAAGGGCACCAATGGCATACAGAGAGAAACTGAAGTATCTGGCATTGGGATGGGTGCCAGGGGACAGCTTCCTCCTAGACAAAACTTCAGAGGCCAGGCAGTGGCTATTATCCCTTTTCTGAGCCCTCCCACACACTGACACAGAGCAGTGACCCCATATCAGAGACTCCATCAACCTGTCCTAGTGATTTCCTAAGGCTCCGCCCTATCCAACTTACTGGTGTGCTTTTCTATAATAGACTATGCTACTGAGATAGGAAGTCAAAGCAGCTCTACCTAATACATAGAAACAAACACAGGGAGGCTACCAAAGTGAGGAGACAAAGAAATATGCCCCGAATGAAAGAACAGAACAAAACTCCAGAAAAAGAACTAAACAAAATGGAAATAAACAATCTATCAGTTGCAGAGTTCAAAACACTGGTTATCAGAATTCTGAAGTATCAGAATACTTCAACAGCATAAAAAAAGACCCAGGCAGAAATGAAGTATACACCAAGTGAAATAAAGAAAAATTTACAGGGAACCAACAGTGAGGGGGATGAAATCAAGAATCAAATCAATGATTTAGAACATAAGAAAAGCACAATTTACAATAGCCAAGAGTTGGAAGCAACCTAGGTGCCCATCAGTAAATGAATGGATCCAAAAATTGTGGTACATATACACAATGGAATTCTATGCTGCAGAGAGAAAGAAGGAGCTACTACCCTTTGCAACAACATGGATGGAACTGGAAAGCATTATGCTGAGTGAAATAGGCCAGGTGCTGAAAGACAAATACCATATGATCTCACCTTTAACAGGAAGCTAAACAACAAAACAAACAAGTAAGCAGAAAAAGAAACCCCAAAAAACAAAGACACTGAAATAGAGAACAAGGGGATAGTGACCAGAGGGGAGAAGGAAGGGAAGTTAAGGGGAAAAAGGGGGAGGGATTTGGAGGAACAAATAGGAAGGACACAGGGACGAGAACTAAGGCGGGGGGAGGAAATGGGAGGGAGGTGGGGAGCAAGGGGCAGGGGAGGCTGGGATGGGAAAAATAGACAAAAAACTGTACTTGAAAAATAACTAAATAAAATTAAAAAAAAAAGAAAAAATAAACACTCAACCAGAATAGTAAGAAGAAGAAAGAATTTTAAAAAACAAGCATAGGCTAAGGAGCCTCTGGAACCTTCAAATGTAAGAACATTCACATCATAGGGGTGCTGGAAGGAGAAGAGAAAGAACAAGAAATTGAAAACTTATTTGAAAAAATAATGAAGCAAAACTCCCCTAATTTGGTGAAGGAAATTAGACATATAATTCTAGGAAGCATAAAGAGTCCCAAACAAGATGGACACCAAGAGGAACACCACAAGACACATCATAATTAAAATGCCAAAGGTTAAAGATCAAGAGAGGATCTTAAAAGCAGCAAGAGAAAAGCAGAGTCACCTACAAAGGAGTTCCCATAAGGCTATCAGCTGATTTCTCAAAAGAAACTTTGCAGACTAGAAGAGACTGTCAAAAAGTATCCAAAGTGATGAAAAGCAAGGACCTACAACCTAGTTTACTCTATCCAGCAAAGCTATCATTTAAAATGGAAGGGTAGATAAGGTGCCTCCCAGACTAGGTAAAACTAAAGGAATTCATCATTACTAAGCCATTATCATATGAAATGTTAAAAGACTTATTCAAGAAAAAGAAGATCAAAACTATGAACATTAAAATGACAACAAATTCACAACTGCCAACTGAATCTAAAAAACAAACTAAACTAACAAGCAGAACAGGAACAGAATCATAGATATGGAGATCATTTGGAGGGTTATCAGCTGGAGGGGGAAGGGAGAGAATAAGGAAAAAGGTAGAGGGATAAAGAAATACAAACTGGTAGGTACAGAATAGACAGGGGGATATTAAGAATAATATAGGAAATGATGTAGCCAAAGAACTTATATACATGAGCCATGGACATGAACTAAGGGGGGAGATTGCTGAAGGAAATGGGGGTGTACTGGGTGAAGGGGGGTAGAGGGGGAAAATTAGGACAACTGTAATAGCATAATTGATTATATATATGTATATGGGTTTTTGTCGGTAGGTAGCAGTTTAATAGGCAAGGGAACTTGCATACAGTGCTTATCTTAGGCATTGCAAGATGAATAGATCTCTGCATTCACTCAACAGAATCTTAAAAGTTTATATAGAGACCTTAACTGGATTCAGTCCAGACAGCCTCAGTTATGCCTTACTTTCTCAAAGCTATATCCTTGGAACAGCTCCTACTGTGGGAACAGGAGGTAGAGTGTATATTCCAAGGACAGAAAGGAGGTGAAGAGCCTTCAATTGCCTGGGTCCAACTCAACCGTCAACCAGCAGTCATGTTTTCCTGTTTACTTCCTCCAACAATTTCCCTGGCTGATGTGGCTCAGTGGATTGAGAGTGGCCTGCAAACCATATGGTTGTCAGTTCAATGCCCAGTCAGGGCATATGCCTAGGTTGCAGACCAGGTCCCCAGCAGGGGATGGCTGAGAAGCAACCACACATTGATGTTTCTCCTCCTCTCTCTCCTTCCCTTCTCCTCTCTCTAAAAATAAATAAATAAACTCTTTTTAAAAATTCCCTTTGATTTAACATATATTTAAAAAAAAAAGACAAAAAAATTTTCAAAGAGAGATGAAGTGATTTCTTTACTAGCTGAGCATACAGTACTGAATTATCATATGAAACTGGCAAATTTACAATGTATAAAGTAGCAAGAAATAGAAAATAAGTTAGAGGCAAGAAGATAAAGAATTTTTTGGACTTTATAGATTCTTCTCATTAGGAGAATTTTTTCCTAAAAAATATATTCACACTGATATCTGTCAAAATGTTCCTTTTAGAAATTTTTTAATGACAGAAGAATGAACTTACACACAGAAAACATAATTAAATAGGGATAGAGAATGCAGTTGCAGCCTACAGTGTAATTTAATTGGTTAAATGCTTTTTTCCTTTAGTTCAATACATGTCTTAAACTCTGTGTGACATTAGCCTGGCATAGAGATTAAGAAGATGGCATTTATAGAGCAGTTGCAGGTTTGTATCCTAGCTTTGCTTCCTAGTAGCTGTGACCTTGGACTAGTTATATAACCTCTTTGTGCTTCAGTCTCATTATCTTTTACAGTGGAGATAATAATAATATGTAATCCATAGAGTTGTGTGAGTTAAATGGATTAATATATGTGAAGAGCTTAAAACTGCCCATACAGTAGTCACCCAGAACAACAACAGAGACTGATTTCTCTATGACTGAGGGGAGTGAGACTTGTCAATACCTGGGGGAAGAATATTATGAGCAGAAGGAAGAGCAAAGACAAAGGTCCTTAAGTTGGAGCTTAAGTTCCTTTTCTTCAACCAAACAGCTGGAAGATTCACTGCACCTCCACGTGGAGGTGAGGGGTGAGCGGGAATGAGCAGGCAGAGGCTGGAGGGACATTCGATGGAAATTCCTTTACTTATAAATATGAGATTTGGGGAAAATTTTTCTGTCTTCCAGTGAGGATTTTACATTTTATTTCAGTCTGACAGGAAACAATGGAAGGGAAATGGCAATCACAATTATATTTTACAGGTGTCTCCATGGTTTTGGGGGGCAAGAGTGATAGCCCAAAAAATAGACAGAAGGTTAGAGGCATATAGTAGTTCAGACAAGAGATGAAGTGTCTTCAACTAGAGTGGAAGTAATAAGGAAAGAAGTGGTTGGATTTGGAATGTATTTCAAAGAAAGAGCTAGTGAGGTTTGCTGACACACTGGGAATGGGGAATGAGAGAAAGAAATCAAAGATGACTGCAGAGTTTTGGGCCGAAGCCACTGGTTGAATGGAAATGGGGAAGCCTGTAAGGAACAGATTGGGAAGGAGGTGAAAGTAAGAATTTGGTTTTGAATATGTAAGTTTCGGGTGGCTATAATATATCTAAATGCAGAAGTCATGCAGCAGTTGGAAATATAAACTTGGAGCTCAGGGAAGAGTTTGGGGTCTAGACTATGCATCTGGGGATATCAGCCTATAGGTAATATTTAAAGGTGTGGGACTGGGTGATATCAACCACAGATGAGTGTCTGAGGACAAAATCATAAGCATTTGCAAATCAGAAATAGCATGAATTATATACCATTAACTTTCTTACATACCATCAATAATCTGTTAAACATTCTATGGAAAAAAGTCCCTATTAACAGTAAATAAACACTGTGATTTGATATCTGGGCTGAACTAACTCCATGTCCCACCACTTTGACTCAAGTCTGGCAATGTTCCCAGTACCCCATTTAACAATTTTCCAGCACATTTTTCTAAAAGGGTTGATTAGCTCCTGAATGATAGTTTCCTGAGGTACCTTCAATTTTATGATAACAGCAGTTTCCTGTCTCTCACTTGAAATAAATATCACTAATATTTTCAGCTCCTGCTTAATAGGCCCCAATCTTTTACATTTTGCTCTATAATATATCAATAAAACAACATGCAAATTTTTATAAATGGAACTTCAACACATTTTTCCAAATTTGTTTTTTAGATTGGTTTTACAACTTTTCTGATTATTTTAACTGCATTAATTTTATTTCTTCCAGGTATATCTCCTGTGAAAATAAGCCCCAACCTACAAAAAGTAATTTAAAAAAATTAAATTTAAAACCACACCTTGTACCAACAAATATAAAAAATCAAGAGGGCAAAGCAATAGGTAATGCTTTGTGTAATGTATTTATTTCTCCTTTGATTTATTAATGAATGTTTTTATTATATACTTTAGTATTTATTAATTTGTATTTTAAAGTTTCTTAATAAATTGACGTCTCTGTGGAAGGCATTTGCTTGACAGCATATGGGTTATATTTAACTGCAGTGTGAAAAATTTTAGTGAGCCATACAAAAGAATTTCTTAAGAGAAAGAGATGTTAAATATTAGAATAGATAATTTATATAATTCAAAAACTGGGAATATATTTGTATGTTCATTTATTTTTCTAGAAAGAAAATTTCTGAGTTTCCTTTCAGTTTAACCCTAAGAGTTCCCCTTTTATTGTTTTTTTTAATCAATCAGGTACACACATCTTGTTTAAGAATCTTACTTTTCAGTCATGTAGTTAATTAACACTTGCACTATTACCCATTACATGGTCAATTGTTATAAATGTTCCATGTGTACTTCAAAACAATGTATATTCTGCAGTTGTTCACTGCAGTGTTTATATATATATATGTATATACATATACATATATATGTATGTATCTTTCAGTACAAATTTGTACATTGTGTTTTTTAACTCTTCTGTATTCTTACTGATTTTTCTGGTTGCTTGTTGTGACAATTACTGAGAAATTTTAAACTTACTATCTTATTTGTAGAATTGTCAATTTTTGCTTTACATATTTTTAATATAGTGTAGGCCACATTACTATTTGCATAACATTTTACAATTATTATATATCTAGTGAGTGGAACCTTTTTCATTTAAAAATTACTTTCATCTTATTTAATAATACAGTAGTTATACAACTTTCTTTTGGCTAAAATTTGTATGGTATATCTTTCTCCATTATTTTATTACCACCTTTCTATAACAGTATGATCTAGATTTATCTCTTATAAATATCAAGTTGCTAGATTTTTAAATTTATTATGCTAATCTTTGTCTTTGAATGGAGCATTTAGTCCATTTATACTTAATATGATTAGCAAAATCTTTGGATTTAAATTTGCCATCTTATTTTGTACTTATCTCTCCTGTTGACCGTATGCTTCTTTTTCTATCTCATGTCTTCTTTAAGATTTAATTTTAAAATTTTTTAACTTTTCTTCTTTAGTAATTTGGAAATGGTGTAATCTCTTTTCTTTAAATTATTACACTAGGAATTATAATATTCATCCTTTCAAAATCTAATGTTACCCTCCTTCTGGACAATAAACACATCTTGGAACACTGTAATTATTTCACTCCCATACTGAGTTTTATATTATCACTAAACTCCAAAGTCTCATCTAGATATCATCTAAATCAAATATAGGTGAGACTCAAGGTGAGTGTCCATCCTGAAGCAAAAATTGTCTCCAGCTGTAAACCTGTGAAACCAAGCAAATTATGGGTTTCCTAAATACAAAGATGGGTCAGACATAGGATAGGCATTCCCATTTTAAAAGAGAAAAATAGAAACAAAGTAGGGGGTGATGGGTCTCAACCAAGTCTAAAACCTAGTAAGGCAAACGTCACTGGGATTTTAAGGCTCAAGGCCAATTCTCTTTGGCTTGATGCTCTCTCTACTGGACCCACTGGGGCTGAGGTCCTGCCACCACAGCTCTGCAGGGTGGAGTCACAACCCCCCCATCCCAGAACTCTGCTAGGCAGGGATCCCACTTCTACAACTTTGCCCAGTAAGAGTCATATCCCCAAGGCTTCAGGCTGCCCACCCTAAGGCTTTGGGTGGAAGCTATCAGACCTGTTGCAACTGAGAAAATGGCCTTTACTTCACTTCTGAAACTGAAGAGATGGCCCTGATTGTCTGGGAATTGCCGTCAGTTATTCTTCCCTTGTCTTGAAGAACAGCACATGTTTGCAACAAATAGGTCTATGGTCCCATCCTGTGAAACCTAAGAAGTCCAGCAGTCCTTCATTTTATCCCATCTCCATTGCTTCAATTCAAACTGGCAGTGTCTCTGCTGGGGTGGCTGACTAGGTCTGTGGTTCGCACCAAGACCAGTCTCCTTTCCAACGGCCAGTCTTTCCTACCCTTAGTGTTTTCTTTTGAATGTACTTTCTCTCTCTCTCTTTTTTTTTTTTTTTTTTTGAAAAGCTGAGAATTTTCCAAATTTTTTAGTTCTGGTTCTTTTTTGCTTAGCAATTTTGTCTTCAATCCATTTCACTCTTCTCACATTTTACTACAATCAGTAAGGAGAAGCCAAGCTGCTCCTTTAATACTTTGCTTAGAAATCTTAGCTAACTATTCAGTTTCGTTGCTCACTAGTTCTACCTTCCACAAAACACTAGAACACAAACACAGTTCATCCAAGTTCTTCGTTACTTTATAACAAAGATAGCCTTTTCTCCATTGTCTGATAGCATGTTCCTCATTTCTATATGAGACCTCATCAGAATGGCCTTGCCCATCCACATTTCTACCAACATTTCTGCACATGATTATTTATGTATTCTCTAAGAAGATGGGCATTTTCTCTATAGCTCCCCACTTTCTTAGTTCTCACCAGAATTGCCTTTAAAATTCCTTCATGGCCATACTGGCTTTTTCTAGCATGCACTTCAAAACTCCTTTTGCCTGTACCCATTACCCAGTTCCAAAGCCACTTCCATATTTTTAAGTATTAGTTTCAGCAGTATCCCACTTCTCAGTACCAATTTTTCTCTCAACTCAGGCTACTATAACAATCTACTATAGCCTAGGTGGTTAAACAACAAATACTTATTTCTCGCAGTTGTGGAGGTTGGAAGTCTGTTTGGGGTGCCAGTCTAGTCAGGTTCTGATGAAGGCCCTCTTCCAGCTTTCTCCCACCTCTTCTTATAAGGGCATTAATCCCATCATAGGGGCTCCACCCTTATTACCTCATCTAAACCTAATTACCTCCCACTGGCCAACTTCCAAATACCATCACATTGAGAATTGGAGCTTCAGTGTATACATTTTAGGAGGGATACAAACATTCAGTACATAGAAACTACCCTATCTAAATTATATCTCCCTGTATTGTTCTCACTCACCAAAATCTGTTTATTTCTGTCATAGCATATATCTCAATTTATAATTATTTACTCCTTTGTTTCTTCACCTGTTTATTTTCTGTATTACTCACTAAAATGTTTGCATCATTGGTCAGAAATCACAATTCTAGAATCTAACAGCAGTGCCTGGCATATTGTAGGTGAGGTTAACAAATAACTGTCCATTGAATGAATACCATACACTCTATTCAGTTTGTTACATCTTTTTTTGAAATCTTATTTACCCTCACGGCATCCATATTAAGATTAAGTACTATCATTTCCACTTAATAGATGAGAAACCTGCCCTGGCTGGTGTAGTTCAGTGGATTGAGAGTGGGCCTGCGAACCAAAAGATTGAGGTTCGATTCCCAGTCAGGGCACATGCCTGGGTTACAGGCCAGTTCCCAGCAGGGGACTCATGAGAGGCAACCATACATTGATATTTCTCTCCCTCTCTCCTTCTCTTCCCCTCTAAAGATAAATAAATAAAATATTTTTAAAAATACATGAGAAAAACTAAAGCTCAGATGGGTTAAGTGACTTTCCTAAGGCTACATAACTCAACACACAAAAAGTAGGTTCTGATCCCAAACCCAGACTTTCTAAATCCGAAGTCTGTGTGGTTGACCCTACGTTATGCCAATTTTAAGACAACCCATTAAATGATAATCCAGATTGATAAAACTCATAATTACAGATGGAGGGGATTCAAGGTGAAGTAAATACAAGCTCTGACACAAATACTGCTCCTTTTTTGTTACAAAATCTTTTATAACAAAATCATAAGCATGTAATTCTGTAACATAATAATATCATACTCAAGCACACCATATAACATTTTAGATGAACTGTTCAAACTAAAACTATAAATTATTATACCCATATTATTACTCTATCAACCACACTCAAGCAGGAATTACTTCTTCTGGACCCTATATATCTCTTTTCAAAGGAATTCATGAAAAGATTTCTTTGACTATCAAGTATGATTCTATTTTATTTAGAATATCATTTTTTCCAAGATACAGTTTTATTATATTATAGTAAGTAATTGAAAGTTATATTCTGTTAGTAAAAATTTACTTCTAAGACAAATTATTCTAGAATATATTTAGCTCTAAAAATGTAAAAGCAATTTTATGTAAGCAAATAAGATGAAAAACTACATTTCTAAAAAGTTTACTACATGTAAAGAAAATAATTCATTGAAATTAAATTAAAAGTGGCCTAATAGTATGGAAATATCATTTATGTTTGGTTTGTTTCTTCAGAACCAGTAGAAGAATATCTAAAATCAAGATTTCAGAGACCTTTACTTTTTCTTAAGGATATAGATGAGGTGGGTTTAATTTGTGTGTTTATAATTACTTAATAGCAATTCAGACTAAACCAAATGATTTCATATATGCTCCTATCAATGCCAAAATCAAATGGATGTTAGGAATAAAAAGCATAAGATTTTAAAGTGATTTTAACTCTGGTATTATGGAAAACGTTACATACGGAAATAATAGAAACAATAATATATTATTTGTTAAACAGTCAGTACAATAAAATTATTTTTTGAATATTATGAGGTCTAGCAGTTATCATAAAGTTGGTTAAGATAGGGTATTATAAACTATACATGCATAAATTAAATATTTTTAAATTTAAAATATGAAAATATACATCTATTTGTTAATCTTTTGATGTTTTGCCAAGACCATTTTTGAGCATGCTATAGTAATTGAAACTATATAATTATAATAACAACACTACTGAGTCTTAATAATCAATTGAGCAGAGGTGTGTGGACATACTGAAAAGAAGCTGACTAGCCTTGAACATTGAGCATACCTTGGATATCATTCAGTAAGTTTTATCTAGGAGACTAGAGAGAGAAATTAATTCAGAGAATCAGCAAAAGAACGTCACTTAAGAGACTTCCTTAGATATCAGTATGTTTATTATTAACCTTGCCAGTATGGATAATGAAACATAAAGAAATACGTACTTAATTACTCTTGTATAATTAATAACATCCTATAATTTTCTTGCATATTCTTACTTATTATAATTTAAAAATATAATTAGTAATCAGGATTCACTGTCCAGAATATTAATTTTGTCCTCAACTACATGATTTATTTGGGTTTATATGTAATAACAATCTCCCAAGAAATATTGTAATATTACATTAAGTTCACTTATAATAAATTTACTAGTGTCCTATACAACACATATAACATTTTAATTTAAAAAATACAAATTAAAGTATGCATATATTTTTTAAAATAAATAATACAGCAAGACTAATAAAAACACCAAGTCCTTCTATGCTTTCTGCTCCATTTTTTTTTCTGTGGCAACCATGTACAACCTTTTTAGGTTTCAATTCCTCTTATGAATAACTTTATAGTTCTAAAGAATGAGCTTATATTACTGTTTTTTTACTTATCAATTTTAAACATTAAATACTGAAGAATCACAAAAAGAGATTCTAATTAGCTTAGTTATGCTGCTTAATATCTCACTTCTCTCCCTCTTCTGTACCAAGTAACTACTTTTTTACTTCTATTGTTAACTTTTGTACCTTAAAATAATATATCTAAAATGTTTTTCTATTAACTTTAATCATTAACTCTTGATTCACCTTTATATAAGATGAATCTTAGCAGTTTTATTTTCTCCATGCCTCTTTCCATAGGTCAAACATATGTTTACTTTTACAATTTTGAGGTCAATGATTATATTCAGTTTGCAACTCTGATTAAGCCCTTATGTTTTATCTGTAAGTTAATTCTAAAATTCCAAAATTCTATTAATAGCATTTATGCTATTATGACATTGTAAATAGCCATTCATTGTAGAACAAAGTAATGTGTTAAGATTATGTTGCATCTCAATGGATACAAGGTAAGAAATAAAAATAGGCTCTCTTTTCTTATTCTTCATCAGTTACTCAGAAATAATGCCATGTATTCGTTTCTCCCATATTTAGATCCTGTGGGTCTTGTACCATTTTCTGGAGTATTTAATTTCCTTTTTTTTCTTCTGTAGCCTGATAATAATAGCAAACACTTATATAGTACTTAAGTTTGCCAAGCACTGTTCAAAGAAATACATACACATATTGCTATATCTATGTAGCTCAAAGAAATAGTTTTATACATACATATATACTAAAAATATGTGTTTTATATGCATTATACATACATACATGTATAAAATATACACCCTCAATAACCCAGTGAAGTAAGAACTATTATTATTCCTATTTTATAAATGAGAAAAAAGAGCCATAAAGAAGATTAGCAACTTGACTGTGATCAAATTATAAATGACAAAACCAGGAAGAGCCCAGCATTCTGACTCATGCCCTTTACTTCTAAGATATGCAGCCACCAAAAAAGGAAGCATGTAGCTTAAGTGGAATCCATCCCAGTCTTCTTATTGAAATTGTTCAGGAAGTCCAGTGACTACTTGCTTTAAATTTGACCCATTAATTTTAAGCCTCTTGGCAGTTGTCATGGGGTCATCCACTCCTGGGTTTGTTTCTAGATTCTTGTATCCCCTGTCTTATTTCTTCTTGTATTTCATCTTTATTTTCCAGAATACATCTTCAAGAAATGTCCCTAGAAATGGCATATGGATGTCTAGGAGTGTATTTATTTCCTACATATTTTGATAATTTGGCTGAGGAGAATTGTAGGTTCAAAATCATTTTTTCTCTAAACTTTGAAAACATTGCCTTGCTGTCCTATACCATTCAATGTTGCTATTGAAACGTTCTCTGTGTTTTGTAAGTACTCTTATTGTTTTCTTTGGTTTCTTTATCAGTTTTGTTTTGAAATGTCTTGATAATATGACAAAGTGGTAATTTTACTTCAATTTACTTCATTCACTGCTCATTAGACCCTACCCTAAAACGAAATATTTTTCTTTGGTTCTAAAACATGTCTTCATGGTACTTTTTCCCATTTTCCCTGATTCTCTATACACCTGTCCTCTATTTTTGTCTTTTTAAAATTTTACTCCTTATTATGGAAAATTTTCTTAAATTTTTCTTCTGATTTTTTTACTGCATTTTTGTTCACTAATAATAGTTTAATTTTTTATTATTCTTGGTTAGTTTTTTGCTTTTCATAGCATCCTGCTACATTTTTTCACAAAATTTTCTGATGATATTAGAATTTATTTTGTTTTTACGTATATTTTAGTTACTATGTTATTACAGTTGTCCCAATTTCCCCCCTTCTCTCCTACCTAATATCCCCTTCCCTCCAGCATTCCCCCAGCTTTAGTTCATGTCAATGGGCTCTCCAAGAAGTTCTATGGTTTCTCCATTTCCTATACTATTCTTAACATTCCCCTGTCTGTCTGGTACCAGCCAATTATGCTTTTCAATCCTTGCACCTTTTCCTCCATTCTCCCCCTTCTCCCTCCTAGCTGATAATCCTAGAAATGATCTCCATATCTATGATTCTGCTACTGTTCTGATTGTTTGCTTAGTTTGTTGGGGTTTTTTTAGATTCAGTTGTTGATGGTTGTGAATTTGTTGCCATTTTAATGTTCATAGTTTTGATCTTCTTTTTCTTAAATAAATCTCTTTAACATTTCATACAATAATGGCTTGTTGATGATGGACTCCTTTAGCTTTTCCTTATCTAGGAAGCACTTTATCTGTCTTTCCATTCTAATTGCTAGCTTTGCTGGACAGAGTATTCTAGGTTGTAGGTTCTTGCCTTTCATCACTTTGAATACTTCTTGCCAGTCCCTTCTAACCTTCAAATTTTCTTTTGAGAAATCAGCTGACAGACTTACGGGAACTCTTTTGTAGGTAACTCTGCTTTTCTCTTGCTGCTTTTAAGATCTTCTCTTGATCTTTAACCTTTGGCATTTTAATTATGATGTGTCTTGTTATGCTCCTCTCGGTGTCCATCTTGTTTGGGACTCTTTATGCTTCCTAGAATTATATGTCTAATTTCCTTCACCAAATTAGGGGAGTTTTGCTTCATTATTTTTTTCAAATAAGTTTCCAACTTCTTGTTCTTCTTCTCCCCCTTTTGGCATCCCTATAATTCAGATGTTGGTAAGTTTGAAGATGTCCAGAGAACTTTTATACTTTTCTTGGTTTTTTTTGAATTCTTGTTTCTTCTTTCTGTTCTGGTTGAATGTTTATTTTTTTCTTATGTTCCAAATTATTGACTTGAATCCTGGCTTCCTTCCCTTCACTGTTGGTTCCTGGTAGATTTTTCATTATTTCACTTGATATAACCTTCAATTCTTCCTTTATGTTGTTGCCATATTCAATGAGTTCTTTGAACATCCTGATCACCAGTGTTTTGATCTCTGCATCTGTTAGGCTGGCTATTTCCATTTAGTTCAGTTCTTTTTCTGGAGTTTTGTTTGGTTCTTTCATTTGAGCCATATTTCTTTGTCTGCTCAATTTGGCAGCCTCCCTGTGTTTCTTTCTGTGTTTTAGGTAAAGCTGCTTTGACTCCCTGAGAAAGGTACCTGTAAATTGTGTGTGGTGAAGCCTTTGGTTATAGCCAGGGTAGGGCAACCTGCTTCACTGCTTTGTGACTCTGTGTGGGAGAAAGGCTTGGACAGGGGACTGTGCTGCTGCCTGTCTTCTGGGGATTTGCCAAGCACTCTCCCCGCTTCCAGTTACTTCACCCACTGCCTGTATGTGACTGGTGCCCTTCCAGCTGGTGTTGAATCCCAGAGTGGGTGGGTTTGCATACATTTTCTGACAGTGCATGCCCTTTAGGTAGAGTTTCCTGAGAAACCAGAAGTTTCTTCTGCTGCATCAATCCCTACTGGTTTTTACAGCTGGAAGTTATGGGGATTTATTTTCCCAGTGCTGGAACCCTAGCCTGTGTAGTTGGCGTGGCACTGGGATCACTGGTTTACAAGGTATCCCTCTCCATTTTTCTAGTGAACGTGAATGTGGGACCACCCATGCCTGTCCCACCACTGCCGCCACTACTGCCTCTCCACACCACACTGTGTCTCCTTGCCTCTTTGCCCCATTTCCTTGGCTCCACCCCTCCTCTTCTCTGGATGAATGTGGCTTCTTTGATTCCTTGGTTGTCAGACTTCCATACGGTTCAATCTTCTGACATTTCTGGATGTTATTTCTTTTTAGATTTAGTTGCATTTTTTTTTGTGGTTGCATGAGGAGGTGAAGCATATGCCTCCATCTTCACAGAAAGTAGAATTTATTTTCTTAAGTTAACTTCTGTTTCTTGAATTACCTGTTCTTCTGGTATCCATGTTCTTTTTGTTTATCATGACATGTACCTTTGGACTGGCTGATTTTTTACCATGTCTGATAAATCTTCATTTGTTCAC